ACTATCAAGAAAAATATTTTTATTGCTGTTCATATTGTTATAAGGACATCGGTAAATTAAGGAACGGAGTTTGCTTGCCTTGTAAAGAGTTACTGAAGAAATTACATGACGATGGAAGGAGGAGGAGGAGGAGGAATGTGAGAAATTAGAGAAAAGAGGAAAGGAGGAAGAGAGTTGAAGAGGATGATGTTTTTGTTTTTATGTCTGTCTGTCTGGCTGTCTGTTTCTCTCTCGGTCTCTCTCTCTCTCTCTCTCTCTCTCTCTCTCTCTCTCTCTCTCTCTCTCTCTCTCTCTCTCTCTCCATCCCCCCGTTCCTTCTTTTTCCCCTCCATCCTTCTTCCCTCCTCTCCTCCCTCCCTCCCTCTCTCTCCCGTTCTCTCCTTCCCTCTCCCTCCCTGCCTCCCTCTCCCTCCCTGCCTCCCTCTCCCTCTCCCTCCCTCCCTGCCTCCCTCTCCCTCTCCCTCCCTCCCTGCCTCCCTCTTCCTCTCCCTCCTTCTCCCTCCCTGCCTCTCCCTCTCGTCCCCCCCCCTATCCCTCGCATGACCCACCGCAGTGAAGTCTGTACGATTTGCAAACACGGTCGCTGCCCCATCTTGATTTTCCTGCTGCCTTCGTTATCTTGTTTTTTTTCTCGCTCTTTCTTTTTTTATTATGCGTTTCCTCTCTTTCTTTCTTTTCCTTTATTTTTTGTTTCCAACAAGCGTGTCTTTGACCTCTCCCTCGTGCCGCAACACCTCGGCGATAAGAGAGATAAAGAGCTCTCGGCGACCGATAAGCCAGCCAGGTTACGTTCCGCTGCGCCGGCTGCGTCCGATTGCGTTGGCACACGCGCGGATTTCTGTCTTCTGTTTTTTTTTAATATTTTTATTTCTTTGTCTGTCTGTCGTTGTTTTTCTCTCTTTCTCTTTCTCTTTTTTTCATTGTTTCTTTACTGAATAGTGTGTGTTTGTTACTGTCCGTCTGTGCCTGTCTGTTTCTCTCTCTCTCTCTCTCTCTCTCTCTCTCTCTCTCTCTCTCTCTCCTTCTGGTCCCCCTCCCTCTCCCTTTATCTCTTCCTTTCCTCTTTCTCTTCCTCTCTCTATTTTCCACATTTTTATACATCTTCAAAATTATAAATAAGTGTCGTCATCCTCGGTCTACAGGATGGCAGAAAGAGCAGGGAAAAGGCAGGTGTTGATGGCAATACAAACATCAAAGTCATTCTTCATTTTCGGTTTATTTACATCTTACAATTTCGGAATTTATTAATTTGAATGTTGCATTTATATTTAAGAAGATGAAAACCAAAAAATTAAATACGAGAAATATCTTTAAAAAAAAAGACGGTTTGTAATTAGCAAGGAGTTTCTATACAAAACAAAAGCGCATCGAGAATGTTTACTCCGTAGGATCGCGTCTCGTTTAACATATCAATCGGTTTTAATTAAAGAGAATAGATATTAAGTGCCACTTGGGATTGGACCCGAATTTATGGATGGGCCGTAAATAGGGCAGAGAAGTTAATGAGGATTATGATAATTAAAGATTTGAAATTGTAATGGGAAGAAGTTTTGAGTCAGTCGGCTTAATGGACGTAAGTGAATGTTTTTCTTCGTCATTTGTCATTGGTTTTGTTTATTTTTGGGGGGTCTGCGGGGATGTTGAACTTTTGTTTTTTTGTTGTTGGCGTTGTGTATGTCTGTAAGGATGATGGTAATGCATAGTAACGGATAGTGGTCGTGTTGCTCTCTCTCATTCTCTCTCTCTCTCTCTCTCTCTCTCTCTCTCTCTCTCTCTCTCTCTCCTCTCTCTCTCCTCTCTCTCTCTCTCTCTCTCTCTCTCTCTCTCTTCCTCCCTTCCTCTCTCCTTTCCTCCCTCCCTCCCTCCCTCCCTCCCTCCCTCCTTTCATCATTTTCACATATTTCATTCCAAAAATATCACTAACTGGACACCTAAAAATCGCCGTTTCACTTTATTGTTCTGTCGGGAAACGCATTCTTTGATAAGATATGAAATGCACGGTCATACCTGAACGAACGCGGCCGCTGGGAGGTTGAACACACAACCCTTTTCCTGTTTTAAAAAATAGAAAGAGAAAGAGAAAGGGAGGAGGAGGAGGAGAGGGGGAGGAAGGAGAGGGGGAGGGAGAAGGAGAGGAGGAGAGGGAGAGGAACAGGATTGAGGGAGAGGGAAGAAGGGAGAAGGAGGGAAAGGGGGAGACGGGCAAAGAGAGAGAGAGGGAGAGGGAGAAGGAGAGGAGGAGAGGGAGTAGGTGAGGGGAGGACTAAAAGGAAGAAGGAATAAGTATGACAATGGTAGAAGAAAACTTAAAAAAAAAGAAAACCATTAAAAAAGAAATTGAAACAAAAACAAAAATTAAAACATCAGACCAAGTCAGATCAAGACAAACAAGACAAAGAAGGAAAGGAAAGGCATAAACATCAATCAGTCTCTCTCTCTCTCTCTCTCTCTATCTCTCTCTCTGTGTTTCTCTCTCTCTCTCTCTCTGTTTCTGTCTTTC